AGGACTACAAAACCACTTGGATGTATGCATGTAATTTATATGTCATAGGAAAATATCACCATATGCATTCTTCTACTTCCAAAGAAATACTAAGTATTATGGGAAGAAGTACTAAGTATTATGGGATGAAGTCTGGGGAGTTTTGAACTCGCATACCAGTGACACCCTCAAGTGTCGGGCATACAGCTAATGCCAGGTTTAAGCCTCCAACAGACATGAGCCAACCAAGGTATGATGCTGATGCACCACGGCTAACCAAAATCTGGAACAGGAAGGGATATTGGAAAAACAGAAGCACAGCCTGACCAAATCATACTTTCCTCCACATAGACAGAAGCCCAGTGCTGACTCTTTCTTTCATCTTCTGTGAGGACAGTCAGGTATAAAACCTAAAGTACTAATTTTTTCCTGCATCCTGACATAAGGTTTTAGTAAACAACAAATTATCTACTGATAATTTCTCAGAACCTCAGGGATGAGTCCTTTGGGTTCAAATGGATGACACCGGAAGACTGAATAACAGCTACTTACAAGGCCAGTATTGTTTGCAGTGGTGGGAGCAATGGAGAATTGGAGTGACCTTCTTGTTGCTGAGAAGAGGTCACTGCAGTGCATTAAACAAATCATCTCTGTGCTGCTGCAGTATCCCAGGCACAGGGATGTGCTGTGCTTATCAACTCCAGCCACTAAAGAAGTGAAGAGTCTTCAGAGTCAGCCTGGGCATTCAGGTTCAGGGCAGAAGTTGAAGGAAAGCCTGTTATGTCTTTGGTACAGTCCCATCATAACATCTTACAGTTTGGTACTATCTTCCCTGCAAGGGAGATATCATCCAATAGGTCCTGAGGAAGGTCTACAATTTTGTCATCATGTGGCCACCTTGCCAGCAAAATGGGCTTCTTCAAGAAAGCCAGGCAATAAGCCACCACACTAGGAGACTCCACTATCCCTCATCTGGGGGGAGGCAATATCTCCTCACCACAGCATGTTACATTAGTAAATCAACCCTCATTTCCTATTAATTTATTAATTTAAGAATTAAAAAAAAATAATCAATAGTTTCCATTCAGAAAGGATCTCATCTGATCAGCAGTGAGGATGCTCTTCCCTTGACCCTCCCTTCAACCCACCCTAGAGCAACTGATGTGGCCATCCACGCCCACACAACCCAACTTCCCTTCTCCTGACAGCCACAATGTCCTGTGTTTTGGCAAACCCACCCTCTGCTCTGAAAAGAAATGCTGCCTGCCTACCTTGGTCCTTTTTCCCTGCCCCACCCCAGCCCGCTGCAGTTCAACAGCCTACAGCCAACCCAGGGACACCTCCATGCACTGCTGGGGAAACTGTAAGGAACCAGGAAAATTGAACATCCTTCTCAGATTTCTTTTCCTCCCCCTTAAAAAACATTCCTAAGCATAGGGAGACAGGAAAGAGATCTCCCACTCTGACCAGCTAAGATATTTACTGTTCTCTTCTTCCACTTCCTGATAGGAATGATATTTTTTTTAACCTAAGTTTGAATGCTTAAATATATTTTAGCCCAAAATTACTCCAGAATGTTGCAAAATAGAAATACAAAAGACGTTAAGCACATCCAATCTTCTCTCCAGCAATCAGTGATGAAATACCTCTTAAGACGAGCCTACGCTTGCCTGTGGCTGGCTGTGTCCTGGGGATCCTGTGGTCAGACTTGTGGGTTTCAGGCCACATCTGCACTGAGATGCTGGGACAATTAAACAACACTATGAAGCCAGCTGTCTCTGGAATGGGAGCCTTCAAGGGTTAAACATGATTTATACGGATTGGCATCACATTCAGAATAGATTTTTGTTAGTTTTCCCAGGTGTCAGGAACAGAGCTAGTAGATGGAGTCAACTATTCCCACATACATGTGGGTGTGAGTTGATCAGAGAGCTGAAGTTCCTACACCCACCACGCTGACGGTTAGCACAGCTCCTGTGTGTGTGTGCTGCTTCCGAGGACACAGAGCAGTCACGCAGGGAGGAACAGTAAGGTGGCATTAGTGAAGTCCCTGGAGACAACTTGAATGTGTCTTCCTGCAGCAAAGGAGAGCGAAAAAAGCTGGCACCAAGGCAACAGAAGGCCTGTGCCAGTCCTGGGCATTTTATATACTGCCCCTATTACCTTCTCCTCTCTGAGATTTTTATCTTGATTTTTTTTGTGCAGTAAAATCACGTTAATTAAACTGTGAATATATAGAAAGGCCCTAAGTCAATATTTGCATTTAGAAAAGGCTGGCTAGAACAGCTTAGGAATTGATTCCATTTTATTAAAGCATCTGTTCACCCAGGGAATATGCTAACAGCAATCAATACATAATTAAATCTTTATTGATGTTTTACGATTGTTTTGTTTCCCAGCAATTATAATGATAGAATCAGCTTCCCTCAGTTGTTCCTCCTCCCCAGCTTTACTACTCATCTCTTGTGAGCCTGCTGGCAACACACCTTACATCTTGCAACCTCTTACTAATAAATGGGACCACAATCACAGTGAAACAGCTCTAACCCTAACTCACTGTGCTAAGCACAAACCAACAAGAAAAGCCAACCTCTGACTTAAATGATCTGATAACGAGAAAAACCAGGAGCTCCAAGATGATATAAGAACAAAAGTTTCAGTGAAGTCAATAGACGACTCTGAAGTAAAATATCTTTGAAGAGCTGAGCTTTCACTAGGCTTTTCTAGGCAGATTTTAAATCCCTTAGATTTTAAATTGGCATTACTCCTTGTAATTGCTTGTTCAACCTCAGGAAATGCAAATGTTGTGGGTACAACTGTGTAAATCATCCATGTTCCCTGCTCAGGAGGTTACAAATTCTCAGCTGGCCTTTCCAAAACAATACCTCCAACCCAGGGGGAAAGGCTCATATTTTCACTAAGACCTCATTGCACGGATCTGGTCAGAGTAGTGCATTTCTGCAGAGCCTCTTAACCACCCCAGAGCTGAGAGGCTGCAGAACGAGAGTCCCTGACCTAGAGTCGTGAAGGGGGCAGCTGTCAGCAAATGCACTCCTCCGCTACAGATTTTAAAACATCTGGGAGGGAAAGCGTGCGTTGTTTAAAGGAGAGCAAATCTTAACTCCTCTCCCTGCCCGTTCTGCAGCTCTCCCGCTGGAGCCCTGCCCTGTCACCGAGGCGTTTGGGCGCTACGCGGAGCCGGGGATGCTCCTTTGCCCACAGCCCTCGGGGTCCCGATTAGGTCCGGGAGCTCCTCGCCTGCCACCCACAAGGTGGTGGTGTAGGCACAGTTTTCTCCACAGCAGGGCCTCCCATTCCCGGTCCTGGCGTGCCTCTCGCCAGAAATCAGCGCCTGAATCCCTCCCTTCTTGAGAGGAAAAAAAAAAAAAAAAGGCAAGGGAAGGGTAATCAGTGTCAATGAGAACAAGTGGCTCTCCGAAGAATCAAGTGGGTCCTCTAGCCAGCAGAAGGGACACGTGATTCCCTGTCTTTTGTTGCCTCGAGCTGACCCACATTCCCCCAAAACTGAGTAAAGAACCTGCCTCCCTTTGATGTTCAGTCTAGAGATGCGTCTCCAACTCATTTTGGTCCAGGTGACAAACTGGGATATCACTGAAAACGCAAGCACTTAATGGATCAGAGATTGAAACCTCCTCCTCTTCGTGTTCACCTGAGGGATGCAGATACCCTGACCCCAGGTCTGGGTTCTGGACTTCCTAAGACTTAGAATCATAGAATCATAGAACAATTCAGGTTGGAAAAGACCCTTGGGATCATCGAGTCCAACCATTGACCCTACACTACAAGGTCCCCTCTAAACCATATCACCCAACACTCCATCTAAACAACACTTGAACACATCCAGGGATGGCGACTCAACCATCTCCCTAGGCAGTCTATTCCAGTGTCTGACCACTCTTCTGTGAAGAATTTCTTCCTAATGTCCAGCCTGAACTTACCACTCCCCCTGTGCTGGTTCCTGCTCATTTCAGCAGTGCAAGGGAGGAACCACCTCTCTGCCAGAAAATTGACCCCCTTGATCAGAAAAGCTCCTCTGAACACAAAGGGGTTTGGTAATTGCACGTTTAAGTGAACTGCTTTAAGCGTGGACTGTCATTGGTCAAGGCAGACACGAGCTTCTCAAAGCATTTCATCCTGTTCTTTCTGTGTCACTGTCCAAATTTCAGGCCTCCCTCAGCAAGTGGTAGGTGCACTCACAGAGGTGGGAGCAAGGTTCCAAGAGAGAACTGACTTCTGTGAAGTTACTGCGAAGTTCGGAGCAGAAACAGGTCTGCTCCCAAGAGTAGGGTATCCTATATTCACCCAAAACAAACCAGCCACCTCAGTTTTGATTCTTCCCAAAGACTGACATTGGCAAGTTCAGGATGTGAGATCAATCTCCCTCTGCAAACACTCACACACATAAGAAGGAAATCAGACACACAGCTTTCAACTTTCACATGCTTACAGACGGTTTGGTTCTGCCATTCCCTGCTCCTTGGGGAGACCCCACTGAAATTATTCAGATAAGGCTGCTAAACCAGCCCCCCCCCGGACTGAATTCTCCATTCTGACTCATACCCTAAAACTTCATTCATATCTGGGACTCCTTCCAGACCCACATTCCTAACATTAAACGGTCAGTGGCTGTACCAGTATGTCCTACTGAAGTTAGCAAACCTTCAGCATAGCCCAACAGGAGGTTTAAAAAAGCCTTTAATTTTACCACCAGCTGCCACCCTTCACAGTATCTTAAAGCGATATTGAACCGAACAAAATGGAAATAAAGAAGAAACATTCCCACTTATGTTTGAAGAACTGTTGAGGGGGTCAATAGCTTTTAATTTGTAATGAGCATCCACATCCTTCAGGGAGCTTTGGAAATTTTGACCACTAAATTTGATCTTCTTCTTCTCCCCTCTTGGATCAATGGAAAGATTTTCTGCACGTGCATTTTCAGACTCTTGTTCGCTGTTCATTTTCTCTCTGTATCCATTTCAACATCTTCCTCCTAGATTTTGTCAGTCACTGCCACAGAGATTCAGCAAGGCTGTCTTGTAATCGCCACTGGTGTCATCCTGAAAAAAAAATAGGTGGATGTGGAAGTTTCTCTGCACACTCTGAGTGCTGACTTTGTCAGTCCATGAAATATGCCCACACAAGAAAAGGACTTTGGAAAAAGCAAGCCAGACTTCAGCAGAGTGACTGCCAGCTGACACACCATCCAAAGTGAATGGAAAAATGAAGCTTGCAGCTGCCACCTGAAATAACATTTATCAAATCTAGTTCTTTTCTTTGGAACCCAAGTGAGCAATTGATCAGCGCTCCATCCCACAGAGTGGCACAAAGCCAACACCAAAGGAATCAAGTCTGTTGCGCTCAAATTTTATGTCTCTGGGTATTTGTGTAGCATCTCCCCGCTATGGGAAGGGAAACAGCAGAGTAGCTAGCCCTGACATATGTTATTCCTTAAAAAGCCACAAAATTTAGTAATTTTGGTCAAGAAAAGCACTACAGAGAATATCACTAGACAAAAAAATTTGCTCCCTTTGAATTTTGTGTGATGACAGGTGTAAAGCCAGTTCCACTTCTCAGAAGGAATGAATATTCCATACAGACCCCTGAAGACTGGTCATTAATCAACATGACAGACACTGACAGTGTCAATTAGAAGAAAGGGCCCTCATTAGAGAACCAGACTTCCCATGGGGACTACCAAGGATAGGGCTTCTGTGCCATTTGCACTGGGGAGAAGAACATCCCAGAGTCCTTAGGACAAACCCAGAGTTTCAGCCCTAATAGGGAAGGGTCGTTCACTTAGAGCTGAGGCTGAAACCTCAAAAGCTACAATAAGCTTTGTCAAAGCTCACTTTCTAAACCTATCTTACTACAATATAGACCAGGCCCTCATTGTAGGATGTCAGCTAAAGAAACAAGAACAACAAAAAAAAATTACAACTCAAAAACCCCAACATACACCAAAAAGAAAACAAACCAAACCAGTACTGTTCTGGCTTATGTGGCGCTGGCCTGAGATGGTTAAAGCACAGCAGAGAGAGAGAGAAGAGAAGATGGTACAGCAGTGTGGGAAAGGTGTAACAGGGAGGATTAAATGAATCTAGATTCATTTAGGAGATCATGAAGTGCACTGACACAGAGTCCATGAAAAACCTAGAGTGGTCTCTCTTCAGCTTTGCCTAAGCCACTTACAGAACAGACAATCTGACTCACCTTTTGGGCATACATGCCTCTTAAGGAGATGATTGTTAATAGGCCTAATGAAAGAGAGCTTCAGAGAAGGAAATGGTGTTTTTACTGAAAACAGCAATGGAATCATCCCATCATGCTGGACAGGTTGGAAATGTATGTGGTGGATAAGGATTGTCGCATCAAGATGCTGCTTACCATAATCATACTGGAGAGAGACTTTCCTGCAATATGTTTGAATTCAGCCTTTATAAGATTTAAGTCAACCTCACTTCGAGAAACAATCACCCTTATAAGAGTCCCATCATGAGTGCCAACGCCCTAGAATAACAAATATATCAGTCTGTTAAGTTAGTGAGTGTTCAAGGGATAAGCTGCTGCAAACCATTCCAGGACAGGAGTAGTCAGCTTTCAGACATCGCTTGAGATATGTTCTACAGCACATTCCTTTTTCTGAAGCATAAACTCTCACCCTTCTCCTAGGGGCCACTTTCAATACCACAAGCCTTCTATGGAAGTGTGCTGTAAGTCTTTGCATATGTCAAATGCAAATACAAACATGCTACAGAGTTGGAAGCTGACACTGAATGCATATTGTCCTTCTGCGGCATCACCCTCACAACACTTGGCTTCAACCAATATTGGTTAATAACTCACAGAAAAATTAAGAACACTTTGATAACAGAAATAATCAGTCACCTCAGCTTTCCACAAATGTGGGAGAGCTCACATCTTTAACATATCAGTTAAAAGCTACAGCAGTACAATCTGCAGATGCCTTATGTGTCCCTATTTTTAAATCTTTCATTTTATACTGCCGTTTAGAGAATTGCTTCCTTAAAAGAAGACATTGTGGTCCAGTCCACATTATGGGCAAAACTCTACCCTGATTAACCTCTCCGAAAAGCCTCTTCTAGAAGCCTTGTTCATCTTCCAGAAAGCAGGCTGGGCTCCTTGCAAACTTGTTAAGTCAGAAAAGCCAGATTGCCCTGGTATCTCAAGCTTAAAGGATACTTTTCTACCCAAGGTGTTTGAAGGGATTCTGCTATTACTTCCAACAGTAACACTAAACTTGCTCAATTTCACCAAAACCTTGGTTCTTCTAATTCAAATTGGTGGGAGCTAGGCTACAATTTAAGTCCCATATGAAAGAAAGTACGTTATAATGAAGAGTCTTACCTTTAAAGCATAGTACAGCCTCTCTGCAAAGTAGCAATGGACGCTCCTGGTGCATTTCACTAGGCATACAAAAAGACAGCAGGTAACAGATTCAACATGTTGTCCATTCATGCAGTGTGCCCCACAGATCTGAGTTTATCCTAACTACGAGATACCTTTATAAAGTAGATCCATGCCATAACAGTCAACTGCTACAGGAGAAAAGGCAGCAGACGCAGACAAAAGAAAGGGAAAAGCAGCCACTCTTACCAATGGCCAGCATGGCATCCTCAAGTGAGCCATGAGTTTCACTCTTGATGGAGTCTTCTATGCTCTTACCAGCCAGTTTCTGGTATTCTTCAAACACTGTTTGAAACACAAAGAAGTTTGTTTGGTTTTTTTTTTTTTTTTGCTGAGCAACTGCTGAGGCATTTTGTACTCAATATTTACAGGTATTTCTTGTAGGGCAATATGAAAATACAGGTCCTGCTAAAGCAATGGCCACATTTGCACCAACTTCAGAAGGCTTTAGACAAGCTCAGGAATCAGCTCCAAAAATGGACAGCAAAATCCACAAAAACCCAGTCCATCCACGGGTCTTAATTATCTGCTCTTATTTGAAAATGCCAGTTCAGTCATGTCATTCATTTGGAAATCTGACCCTTTATCACTGTATTTAGCCACAGAAATTAAGCAGACCCCAGAAGGTTAGGCACAACTCTATCATGTGGTCTTGTGTTTGTTGATGTCACTAGCTTCAGAAGGCAGAAAAAAATCAGATTAAATCTAGGACTATGCTGCTCCCAGCCCTTGGACTTTTACAATATAACAACAATCTGGGAAAATTTATTTCAACCACAATTTAAAAATATCCAACAACAACATAAAAAAAAACCACAGAAAGGATGAACAAACCACAGGTGCAGATTCCAAGGTATCTGAACTCCCATGTTAACAAAATCTCAGCAAGAGTTATTGTTCACCTTAAACACTCTGAATAACTCCAGGGTTCAGAATTGCAGATGTCAGGTTTGATTCCTAGCTGTCAGACTAGCAAAGAAGGAAAACTGCTATATAATGCAATGGACATCTCAATGAAATTTGCTCAGCATTCAAGATCAGATACCTAACATTAACACTAAAATACTTTGGGATAAGGCACTACCATAGAATAGACAGATGGATCCAGCCTTCCCAATTCAGGTCTACTCTCCATATTAAAAAACCCCTTATATTAGCTGCAACAGTTACACTCAAATTTTAAAGACAAACAGGTGCAGGCTGCCATAGCACAGAGGAAATTACTGGCTTGGTGGAGCAGTAGGTCCAAAAGATTGATCGCATCCTAACAAGAACTAGCTGAAATTTGGGTTTTAAAGTTCTAGTTCAAAGACTAGAGACCACTTTTTTTTTTTTAAAGTGATGCCAGGTTATTACATTTGAAACTCGAGGGGAAGGTGGCCTCCAGCTCCTAGAAAATAGCCTTGATTTAAAAAAGCTCAGGCATACCTAATTTATCATCAGCAAAATTTATTAGTTTAGGTCCAGCTGACTTACACAGTACTTGATGTGCTTAGATTCAGCAGACATATCAAAATCTGTTTGTAAGAGCCTTGCACTGCCTCAAAAGTGTTGAGATGACAAGGTCAAGTCTCTGCTGCATGAAGCAATGAGGAGCTGAGGGCTCCTCCTTTAGCTGGGTTAGCATCTTCACTCCCAGCAGCCTGTAATGCTCTCAGAAGAACCTGGGGCAGAAACGGAGGGTGCCCCCAATGATTCTCCAGCCCTGAATAACCAGCTACTTTTTTTTGGTGATTTTTTCCCAGAGGAATCCACAAGGGGTCATGCAAGGGGTCATGGGTATGTCCACTGCATGCTCCCACCTGGTTAGAAAGGGACTCTCTCTCTCATACATTTGGTTTCCACAACCAGCTATACCATCCAGCCATCACCACTGAATAAGGGCTCCTAGATGAGCCACTTGACTGTCAGCAGCACTAAGTCTTCCTAAATTTTCATGAAAGCTGCTGACATCTTTTGGTCATTGAGTAACCAAGGATTAGCAGACAGATTCAGGTACTTATTTCTGACCACTCGTCTCTCCCATCTACAGCCCTCCCTCTTCCTTTTTGCTGATTTCAGAGGCATCGGCATGTGAACTCCACTCCATACCTTTCAGCAAGTGTGTGGCACTCCTTGTGCACAAGATGGTGATGAACTGTACCTCGTCAGTGCCTCGTATCTTCTCCCCAGCAGCATACAGAATCTATAATTTAACACACAATTGTTAGAGCAATTTTCTGTGTGTGCAGCTGGTAAAAGAACAGTTTGGATTAAGATACTGCTAAGGGAAAGGGGTTTAAAGTAACCACTGTGTGAACTGGACTCTACTAGAATGGTCTCTTATGAAAATCCTTGACTGTGTCTTCTACTCAAATTGGTGCAGCCCCTATCTCCACCCTTTATCTCCTTCCTGAAGCAGCTGGAACAGTCAACAGTACTCTTGAAGTTTCTTCCCTGTTCTTTGCCATCCCACTCCATCATACCTGTATACTTTCACCTATCACAAGCAGCTGAACCCAAGTCCACTTCTCATGACTCCTCTTTGGAGCCTCAAGGCTCAGCAGCATAGACAAAAATGAAGAACTCCAAGTTGCTTCTACTTAAAGACCATCCCTTTCCAAGCTATTGTAGCTCCAACCCTCTGCTGACCAGGGCTCTGCTGCTACCCCCTAAGAACTCTGAAGTTCAAGACAGGTAGGATGAAGGGATATATCTGAGAGTACCTCTGCATCCTGAAGAGCCCGTGCTGTGTCCACATAGAGAGTAGCATTGTCCCTCTCACCCTATGAGAAAAAAAAACAAAGGTAATCGTCTTGCCTCTTGAAGATTCTTCCACATATAACGATCATAGCATACATTCTGTGCAAAAATGAATTATTCTTCTCAGCTACCTATTTCTGCAGGGTACTTTGAGCAGTAATGCTTCAGATAGCACAAGTGCTAACCCCTTCACTGAAAAGCACTGAAATCAGTTATATGAAGAAGAGTTGAAAAATTGCCAAGCTATTCTGCTGCCAGGCAGGGAAATTCTGAAAACATGATGGGATAAATGCACCTGAATGCACTCAGCATTAAGGGCACAGCCCCTGGCAGGCTGGTGAATCATAGCTGAGGGGCACTGTTTTCTGTGACCCTTGCAGAGTACAGTGGCTTTATGCATATGTAAAAACGAGGTATCTCTCTGCAGCAGAGCTGACTGTAATTTCCCAGCTCTCTTATTGCTGCTAAAGGAGGTGAGGGCTCGCACCGGAGCTGAAACATGGATCCTGTCCAAGTGATGTGTTTGTCTCTGTAGTTTATCTGGTGATCATAATTGTATTACTTCTTCTATTGCATGTCTTCTCCAAAAACGAAGAGAAAAATGTGAAGACTTTTATACCCTCATTTCTCTTCTCTAGCATTACCTGAAGAAGGCAAACCAGCATCTGTTCAAAGTAGCCACTGGTTTCTGATTTTATGTCTTCTTCCAGATCAGAACCATATTCTATCCAAGAGAAACAGAAGGACAGGGGAAGGATTTATTTGTATGACATAGTCAGGATATTATCGGTCACCCAAGAATACACAGTAGCATGACGCTAGTCAAGAAGGTCACTGGGGAAAAAAAACAAACAGGGCTGAGATCAGCTCACACCCTCACTGATACCTAGGTCAGCATCTGCATCTCACTGAGTCACTAAGTCTGCTGATGTCCAAGGCATAAACACAGAGCTAATGTTAGAGTTATAGCTTAAGAGGCCAAAGAGATATCAAATATTTATAAATACAAATTCGATAAATTCCCATCCAGAGTATATTTAATGGGGAGAAAAAGCCAAGTGCATAGCTATAGTTTTGTTTGTGTTCTGACAATGTTTTTCTGACCTTCTCCTGTAGCTAGATGGAGACCTAGAAAGGGATTTTCAAATTCTCTCAGCATAGCCATGTTCTGTCTGCCAGGCTGAAAGCAGAGTTAGAGTGTACCTTTTTGCTTTTAAAAAAATCTAACACGTTTTCCTGCTGCCAGTGTTTGCTTCTGTGCAATCAGGCAGTCACACATTACTCTGACCACACAACCGAAGCCCCAGGCACTTTACCTTCTTTGTACGCCTTTATTATCTCCTTGATCTGTGCTTTCGTCCGGGATGCCAGGATCTCTATAATAACATCTTCACTTGTTCCCACACCCTTTAATAGAAAACATAGTGGAGAAATAATGGTGGAGAAAGGCATCAAGTCAAGAGTGTAATTTATTGCTAGAGAAGTATGGTCAAGTGAGGAGTTGGATGGCCGTGAAGTTAGGTTGTTCACTGAGCTGTGAGAAACTGTAATGATGAAAGCTTGAGACACAAAGCTCATTTGGTTTGAAGAGGGTTTCTTTTACTAAGGTGCCATCACAGTCAGGCAAAATACCATCTAGGACCATGTCTCGCAGAGAAGGTATCATCACGGACCACACCTTTGACTTCTGGGATCTAAGCCTCTCTTCCCTCCCCCCTTGCCTTTGGGTAAGACTCCCCCAGAAACAAAAATATCTAGAGAGTTGTTTTATAAGTTAACATATTTGTAGCCAGGCTGTATTATTCACATTCTTGCATGTGCTTTGCAGAGAGTCCCTATCAATGTCAGTCTAAAGAATTTGTGTGTCTGTTGCTTTAATAAACTATATTATTCCTCAGTTTGGCTCTGGGAGTTCTGAACTGAACACCACTAGACCACATGGGTCTGACTGTGGGAGCTCCTACTGAACATCACCACACTCCTGCAGTCTGGCCGTGAGTTCAGGGAATGCCTCTAGGTGGGAAGCATATTGCATTATTAGTCTGACTATTAACGCCAAATTGGGCATCACTCAGAATCTAAGCCTCACCATGCCCAGCTCCTCTGATATCTGAGGGCAAGCTGGAACGCAAGATTTAGCTTCTGCCAAACTGCTTTGCCTTTTAACGCAACACAACCACTCCCTGATTTATTAAAGGTTTCACATCTCAGGTGGGGCAGCAGGGCAGTAGCTTTGTGTTATTGAGCTCTGTTCAGGATAGTTACCACAGAAAGCAGCAAAGAGATGTTTAACTGAAAACATAATCTGTGGATATTCATTCCTTGCCAAAGCTTAATCTAGATTTGCTGTTGCCCTGCTCAGGCCCTAAAAGATATACATGTGCAGAACTGTCATACAGCCCTAAATACTAGAACAAGATCTTTTCCCCCAGAATATGCATTAATAGTAAAATTAGCTATTTCTCAAAAGCTACTGTTAATAATTTAACAGTCCAGTTATTACCACTTGCATTAATAAGCACAGCTACACAAAATTAGCACAGTATCTGTGCTACTACTTACCTTCATGGCATCATAGAGCTCCTTGGCATCATACTTAAATGGGGGGTACATGAGAGCTACGATGAGCCTCTCAAAGCTGCCACTCAGTTCAGACTTCAGGCTGTCAATCAGGTCCTGTTAAACATGCATCACACGGTTACAGAAAAAGCCTCACAGGAACTTTTTACCGCCCAGTGCTATTTCCAATCTTGTGGCCTACAGCAATGAAGCTGAATGACAGCATTGTGTTGGGAATTTATTAGAAAAGGTGCCGTGTCTGAAAAAGGCACCTAACTCTAAAATGGGATTTGTGTAGCTCCTTCCATATTCCCTGTTGTCCCCCAAAACCAGGCTTCTTCCAGGTACTAATTAATTCTGCAGCAGAGTAGGGAAGATCAAAAACCTGCCTCCACCCTGCTTTATGCATGGAGCAGAACCAGGCAGCTGAAGGCCTTGAACTGAGTAAAGGACGCAGCTTCAGGCAGAGTTAATTCCCAAAGCGTCCATATAAACACGCGCCCAGGACTTCTGCAGAATCAGACATGCAGTCTGCTTTTTTGAGGCGGAAAATCAGTTTTTCCAACCAAAAACTAATTTCACACGTCCACACTACGCCTTATAAATAAATAATAAGGCAACCTGCTTATTGTTTGCATCATACTTGGAGGATGGATTGTACACCCATTTACTACATTATGCATGTAGTGAAACAGTAACTAAGCATGGCTTTATTTTGGCAGAACCTTTCCAAACTGTGCTTTGAAGGATTTGGCAATGTGTTGACGCTGTATATTGCTCCTCTTGGTTAGGACGTCAATTATAGCTTGTTCATCAGTCCCTGTGGAAAGCAACATGAAGCCATAAACATAGTGCACAGAATGAGTTCAGACTGGTCTAAAATCTCAATCTGAGTATTCAAACAACTTTCCCTAGTTCATTGCCTTCATGCAACAGTTTAAGAATATACTGAGGAAACTTTAATTGTTGTTTTTTAACATTAAAATAGACTGAGATCTCTGACTGCAATTTTCTAAAGAATGGCTTTCAACCTGGCAATTATAAGCATAATATAGAATTTAGACGTGGTTGGACCCAACTCACCAAGCCCTTTCATGGCCTTGTACAGAGTCTGAGCATCAGGTGCAGGGTCAAAGTTTAAAGCACCTGTCACAGACCTGCCCTCTTCTTCACTCTGAAAGAAAAGAAAAAAAAATAAGGGAGGAGACTTCTCACCACTGCTTTTCATCAGATGAAGAAAAGGTGTTTTGAAAGTACAGTAATATTACTTATTACCTACACACAGGGAAGGCACAGGAAAGTGGAGGGATTGCCTCAGTCTCTCAGCAGAGCAGAGCTCCAAAGAGAACACAAGTTTTCTGCCTCCACCTGCCTGGACCAGCCTTTAGCTCCTGGCAGAAACATGAAATGCAAAGCCTGACTGACCTTGCTGCAACAGTCGTTAGCTGCAGGCAGACTGGCAGAAAAAGCTGAGCAGGCTGGACTTTCCTATTCATCCCCCAAACACAATGCTTCACAGTATGTATGTTATCAATCATACTGCATTTCCCAGTGTTTGGTTCAGGGTAGTTTTTACACGTAGTTTTTACACATAATTTTTTTGATTTCATGGAACCATCATGCTCCTGCAAACCATTTTGTGAAGTAACAGCTTTATTCTGCTGCTGCGCTTCTGCATAGCTGACTTCCAGAAGGAAGCATATCCACTGGAAGCATTTGGGCCAAGAGACTACTTTGAAGGAAGAGATCCCCTTGGAGAAGTGCAAGTTTGATGCTCTCCCCTGAACTGAGGGCCAACTACACAGGAATCCTCCAGACAGATCCCTAAGGCACTGCCAGTGCCAGAGCCCCAGGGCAGAAAGACACAGAATCACAGAATATTAGGGGTTGGAAGGGACATTGAAAGATCATCTAGTCCTACCCTCCTGCCAGAGCAAGATCACCTAGAGCAAGTCATACAGGAAACTTGAAACTTATTCCAGTCACCACAGGTGGTAGGGACATCAAACCAGAATTTAGGCTTAAAAGCTTAAATTTAACAAAAGCTGTTAGTCAAGGGACTGGCTTTAATGTATTGACACATCCCTAACACTGATGACCTATCAACAAGTGAGTGCACAAGTGGTTAAGCATTAAGTCATCATCACCTTATTCCAATAATGCACACAATTTTCTATTTGTTAGCTGCAGAGATATTTAAGTTGCCCCAGGAAACTACTAGATTCCTATAAATTTACTTGTAGGGATAGGGCTAATATTGAACTAACGATATTAGTATGACTTGATAGATTTTTTGGTGGGGGTGGCTTCACAGTCGTATAAAAACCACATTCAAATCAGAACTTACAGACCAGAAGGAATCAATCACTGTGGTTGTCCTGTCTTAGATAACATAGACCCCAAGTGCCACCCAGCAGTCTCCTGCTATGATGCAAATCCCTTCTGCTCTTATGTCCTGAGTGAAATAGATCTCTACCCCTCTGCCCATGTCCAAGTGTCCTCTCCAGAGAGAAAAATCCTCCTCGAAGGAAAAAGCCTTCAGGTGATCCTTCCCAGGTAGAAAAGCTTGTGGAAACTCCCCTCAGAGGTCCTGCATTCCTGAGTTTTAATGAGAGGCTGGAAGATTAATGGCTGTGTGCTCAGGAGTGTCTGTCAACAAAAGCCAGGTCTAGCCCAGCGCTGCAGCTGAAGCATGCCCACAGTGCTGCACAGATGCTCAGGCTGGCTGTGGACAAACCAGCTCAGGTGTTCCTGTCAATGCTGGCACATGTTTGCATGCCGGCCCCTTTGCCAGTCAGCTCTGGGAGCAGCAGCAAGCAACCCAGAAGTGATGACCAGTATTGAGAGAGGCAGCACGTTCAATCAGTAGGATCCAGAGACGCTGGCTTTACAGCCAGCACACACTCCCGTGTTACCACACCTTGCTCCCAGCAGAAAGAGCAGCTGTGAAGCAGACAGTGTCAACAGGAAACTTCTCAAGAGATGCAGCTTTGAATCTCAGTGATTACCAAGCAGTCAGTTTATGGCTGTGGTGAAGCTGTCACTGCAGAAAAATCAGTGACAGATTAGAGCATTGCCACCCCCAACAGTTTGTCATCAGCCTGGAACAGAGTTTGGCTGAGCGGGCTGGATCATTGCAAGCTCTCCTTCTCTGGTCCTCTGTGAAGCCAGCCAGCACCATCACAACTTCCCTGGGAAGCAGGTTACAATTACCCATCTGGTTTTGCTCTGAAACAGATGGTCAATCCTCTCTAGCTGCATGCAAGGACTATGTGAAAAGAACCCTCTGGACCCATTTTAGAGGGAGTGCAAAGCTGAGCTTTCATCTGCAGTCAGTGGAATCGAATTAAACAATGATCTTTTTTGGTGCTAATTCCAATTGACATTTACAGCCCATCCTGGCTCAAGTAGCACACACATGACTCACTCATACACCTCATTCTCTGTGTACATAATTGTTCAAGCACAGGTACAATCACAGCAGGTTTCCAGGGAAACTCTGTTCAGTTTGGTCTTGCTCCCCAGATGAATTGATTGACATGAACTCAATGGAATCAGTGAACCTTACAGCTGATGCTGGACGAGTTTTATGTACAAACGAAGGGAAGGTTGACTAAAGTTTTCCTACGAGAATATTTTAAAACCTAAACAGTAGCTTATTGAAAAGCTGGGATTTGGGTACAGGTGGGGGGAGTTTTCAGTGGAAAGTTTCTGAAAAAGTTTCCCATTCTTTCATTCTTTTTTTTTTTCCTTTTGAGCTGTATTTTTTACACAGGGTTTTGAAAAGCAAAACCATTTATTACTATCCTTCCTTTGCCCTCTCATCTTCTCATGCCTCCACCCCCTACTTCACCAACAGTTAAGAGATCACTGGAGCTTTCAAGGACTTTTCTCCCTTTCTCACTCTAAGTTTTCAAATTATTTCCAGCTTGGAGGTTAGGGGGAAACAGAGCAGCACAAAGGGAAAAAAAAAAATGAGAGCTACTTCAAGCTTCAGGAAAAAATCTATTTTACTATATTAAACTTCCAAAAGGAAATAGCAAGGCAGAGCTGCAGAAAGGAAGATAATGACTTCAAACTTTCTGGAAAAAAACTAAAAATCATTGGACATTTTGACATCAGGAATGTTTCCCATCTGAAGCCTCAAAGTAGGAATTAGCTTGGTATTCCCCACCCCACAAGGTGTTTGGTACTTTTCTCCAGTTCCTACCCCTCAGTTGCAAAATTGTAACTGAGAAAGTCCACCTCCACACAAAATGGTTTCTCACTCCCTGATGATGTATTTCACCTGAGGTAACATAATACACTGCAAGGATAGCTCTGCTATGCTTCCCCTGGACCTTTGTTGGCACGTGGCAGCAGAGGGCCCTTGTCCCCTGCCCAAGCAAAGGACTGGCAACGGCTCACCTGGGAGGGGAGCA